CCGTACAAATGAATGAAGGAAAAGTATATAGTTGCTTGATAGAATCTTTTTTGTTCGCTGGTTCCGTCTTTATTTAGTTTTACTCGTCTAACTTAGAGGAGCTTCATTTGTGTTCTTCCAAATTGAAACAAAAGTATAAGTCTTTTTCTAACTTTAGCAAATAATAGAACAGCCGTTGGTCGAACGCCTTGTCGTCATCTGCGTGTAGCTAACTGTAATCAAGGTGTAGTCTATTTCATTAATTCAGTAGCAGCGCTCGGTAATTTCTGCGTGTTTCTGTAGAAAATTTCTCCATTGATCTTGGATATTTCTATAGCGTAGAACATGTTTAGTAAATAAGTGACTGGCTTTACTCCTATGAAAAGCTAACTTGATTGAGCTCCAATGACACAATGTGATCTGCGAATTCAACAATCGATGCTCAATGATGATGCTCTTGTGGTGGTTGGACCCCGCGCCCCGAGTCTTTACCATATTGGCATCAATGTTGAAGAGCCAGTGTTGTGGACTAAAATTAGCCTGTCGCATCTAGTGAACAGCATGGCATTATATGTGAATGACACAACACGGATTTGATCGTTTTATGCAGACGGTTTACTACTTGCGCTAAGACGCCCAAACGGGTCATCAACTAGACTCATTACTGATACAAGCTATGAAGCGTTTTCTTTTCTCTTATGTGTCTGACTATGACATCGTTGTCCATGGAGGGTTCGAGACAGCAGCAGACAAAGACGTACAAGCGTTTTCTATCGTCCTGGAAGTCTTGCCCCTAAGCCTCTAGCTCTCTTTCTGGATCCCGTTCCGACGCAAAAATGACCAGCCGCAGCAGGACCTACGGTAATATTAGGACGACATGTGTTATAACTCAGGCCGCTAGCTGCGAAGTCGCACCCAGCTTGCTCCAATGTTTTCCTCGTCGACATTCCACCTCTCCAATGGTGGGTGTAAATCAGAGACGGCGAAAGACGTGGACGTGACCGGAAATATGAGGTAACTAGTATGGAAGTGGGAACTGAGGGGCAATCGCCGACCAGATCGTCTCTTTCCCTAAAGCCATGTCTTGACCACACTTACGCCGGCTGTAGAAGAAGAAGACGCAGCAGGCAGGCGGCGATTCTAGCCTCCAGCCATCTTTTCGAGGTACAACCACGCTTGCATTAACAGAAAAGTCGGAAGATCGCTTTTATTTCGAAAACCGTCTCCAACATCTGCCATTCAACGCAATCTGCTTCGTCCATCGAAAGTTCCTATTTTAATGTAAGTCTGCAAGTAAGTTGGATATTTAACATTTTACAGATGCCCGCGGTGGCAACGACGCTGTTACGGGTTTGCAAATAGATATGCAGACGGACCCGCGCAACCGCAATTCCTTAACCTGCATCCAACAAAACTCTAGAGTGATTTGTCTGAATGTACCTATTCAGTTTCACAATTGGAATTATTGAGGTATCAGATTATTAATGTTCGGCAAGCTAATCTTTAATCAGATTTCATATCATTGAAAAAGATGTTTGCTCGTTTTGCTTATGTATGCTACCATTAGGCTGTCACAACGGGCCTCCGTGATCGCTTAGTGTGTGGGATATTTGCCTGGTAAGCCCGCGAACACGTTTCGAACAAACAGGTTCGATCGCGGGCATAGACTCGTTCTGATTCGTGCTAAGAGCGAGCTATCTAATGGAATTTCAAACGGTAATTTAGGACTAGAACCTAAAACCTGAGACATAAAGGTTCTTACAAGAAATCTGACAAGCTTCGACTTTAAATAATTATTGAATGATGCGACACTAGCATATGCAATTCGACCACTAGATAATCCAGTCACCTAAAATTTGGCAAGTGAAAACTGCTGAATTTATTCGAAGAAAAACGCCTGTAGAAGTAAGAACATCGTTTGGCCTCGAAAACCAGCACTCAATGATCAAGTCTTTGTTTTTTTAAGGTCACAGTGCTACGGAGATTCAGTGAAGATCGATGATAACATTGGGCAGGGAGGCTTTAAGCGACAGTATGCGAGTGGCGCAAAAATATCAACAATAAAAACTGGAATATTGAAAGCCAGCGAAGGACTTGAAAGACCTGAATGCATTGCCGCAATGGAGGTATCTTTTCAGGAAAACAGGCTTGGAGTCTAGGGGCTTCGTGAGCCGGAACTTGCATTTCACATGTAGTGCATTACAGCATTTTAGCCCCAAATACAGAAAATGCATCAGCCGTGAATTCACTCCAGCTTCGGTGTAAAGGCATATATTGTATTCTATGAATAATTTGTGACATTTTAATTAATAAAAAATGGTCGAGTCTCTATTGTCTATCGGAGAGGCAGCAGACAAGAAAACGGCATCGCCTTGAAGAGGAATGGATATCTATAGCGGTGTCGAATAGGTTTGGACGTAAGGTGACAGTAGTACGTGCAGTGAACGTTAGGGGCATCTCCTGCTATGAGATACTCGCCGAAAAGGAACAACGAACGCGACTTCAAATGATTAATGGACCATTCGCCCGGTAGCACGAAGCATCGATTGGTTGATGAGTCGACGACAACGTCGCCCTGCAGTGTCTGGTCTTGATCCAATCTAAGAGAACTATTCTAATTCTAAGTAAGTCCATGTTGTAATTTTATATAATATACATCATATAGTATTTCGATGGCTATCACTGTGTCGGTCTTGCTGGTGTTTAGCTAAAAACCAATATAACCTTATAATAATATTATAAGGTATATTATATAATATATACTTATATAATATAACTCCTAACCATTAGCTAGTTACTTTTACTTGGTATTCGTAGAACGTCTGGAACAGTGCCTGATTCCGTTAACGCTTCGTCAAAACCAATTCACGAAATCACAATCTATTTTAAGAAACACAATCTATTTACATACGAATGTATGTATACACACATATATACGTGAAGTTGTAAAGAAATTTTTTGCGCTGAAAGAAATTCTTACCTGGCCCTATATATGTTATTCGCTTCTAATAATACTGTTTGAAACCACTACTCCATCGTACTGAAATGGTATTATGTTGTGGGTGCAATTCCACTAGAAAGAACTTATCTAAAGGTACATGTTCCGAGCGAAGAAAAGTACGACACCTTTTTTACGATGCATTTCGTCAAGGCCACAAAACTACTGAAACAGCTAGGGACATTTGCCTCGGATATAAAAAGAACTTAAAGGACTGTTCACGAGTAGTTTCCCAAATTTGAGAACGGTATGTGGAACATAGGAGGTGCCTACCGGAGGCTTTGGCCGACCGTCCGCATTTAATGACGATTGTCTAAAGGCACTTTTGGACAAGCTATTCGGGAGTTGGCTTAAGAAACGAGTTGTAGGCATACGACCGTTGTTAGCTACTCCAGATCCTTTGCGTCGACGAATCTAGTGGAAAGAAAAAATAAAGCCGTGAACAATAACGGAGGAAACATAAGACGTAAATGCTACAGGAAGAATCTTTGATTCATTTGACAAAAGTGTGAGAACTCTCTTTTCAGCCTACTATTACGAGCGTCAACAATAGCGATCATCAATGATAATGGTAACCTATACGTTGATACAATAGCTTTGGTTTTGATAAGTTTGAAAAATGGCGCTATTTGGCGAGAATGTTTGTTACTTTTACCATGGCCACTGATGCCTCTCCTGTTGATACATACTGATCTGAAAATCGCTCGGTTACATGTAAAAGGTAAATGTACTTGTTAGTGTTAGTATTAATCGATCATCCTATTAGATGTACCATCTAAAAGATCGTGTCCTGGTTTCTATCGTTGCTCCAGAAGCCGCAAACACACCGTGAGCTTAACGAGAGGTTTGGTAAAAAAAATCCAGCTAGCTCTGGCTTGTTAGTGTACATGAGGCTGTTACGAAAACGGCATATCGTAGAAAATACCTACGAGTAAATATTTTTTTTAAGGTATGTCCGTTTGGCCATTAAAGCGTTTTGTTATGCTAATCTCAACACGAATTGTTACCTGCTTGCCAAAACGTTTGGCTAGACTTTCTGTGCATCTCAACTAATTGATCAGCCATCGAAGAGATTTGTTGTTCGGGAAAGATTACGCTTAGACCGGCGCATAGGTTCTGGATGATGATGAGTGAATAGCAATGGAATGGTGTGCAGGTTTTGTAATGTCTGCGTGGGTATTCATGATGACGCGCACTATTTCATCCCATGATGTGCCAACGCGTCCAGCAATGCGGAAGCGGCTGGTACCATACAATAAACACTGACTTGTCAGCTTGGATAATCATAGTAGGGTCATATCAAATGAAGCCAGCATCACCTTGTAGTAAGTGCATGAGTCAAACAGGTACATAATAAGCAATATGATCAGCTCGAAGTTCATCCCATACCATTCCTTGCAAGTCTTTATATAAGTACTAATCAAACCTTTCGAAGATGAAGCGCTACCTTGTGCCAATAAAAAATAACTTAGTATTATTATTATTATATTGTACGTGGTTAAGCATTTCATCAAAAGTTACTAGAGGCAAATAATATGTTTGCATCGCACCCGTGTAGAGCAGGTCGTTGTAATGCTCTATATATTATAGATGAAGGTTCCACTACGATTGAAGTGCATGACACGGTATATACGTAAGGAATACTTTCCGATAAAACCTAACTACCTCACATATTAATAACTTCTTCACTACTATTTCTTCTTGCCTGACTCTGTCAAATCCACCCACCGGTCATCGGCAGCTTCCTTCGATGTACTATTAAACAATCGCCAACATAACGTGTATACTGCACATTATGATTAAATGTAGGATTAGATCGGATACGACATATACCCTTTCAATATACACTATTACTGTAGACCTAAAATTTTCAACCGGAGATTAATAGTACAATAGCTGGTTGTTAGCTAGATGGGGCATAGGGAATTCTGTTGAGCCGTAAAATCCCCAGGCTACTGGATGCTAGCTCATTATCATATTTTCATATTAACCAAAAACTCTAGATCGCGTTTACCAACTCGACAGCAATCTCGTAGATCTTCAGATTTATTCTTTTCAGTAGATAATGCCTGAGGGGCATTGCAGCGATGATATAAATCAATCAATAAAATTCGGAGCATAAACAATCCAAATTGTCATCAATGGATAAGTGGTGATCCTACTGCTACAACAAGAGCCAACGATGCAATTACGCTGCCTAAAGCAACCCGTGAAAAGTTTCATTTCGAACAGTAGCTTACTAATCTCGCCGTGAAGATTTGTCCAACAATTTTTTAGAATTCGTCGTGTTTGAGAAATTTAAAAATATTATACTTTCGTTTTGCTAGGGGGCCAACTTAACTAGCTTTTTAATGACCACACGGTAATATGGCTAACTTAAATTCCGTTTTCATACCCTAAACATGGACAGTCCACCGCTTCACCAGGGCTTCTAAAATCGTGTATTGTCATTTCGTCGGCCTCCGATGATCAATTATTGATGTTCCACTTCTAACTAAAACGTTACGTTCCTTATGAGCGACCGCCCGCAGCTGTTGATTTGCTCCCATCATCGTCAGACACTAGCAGGTTGTTCCTGTTCAGCCATGTCATGTTCCCGTGAGTTTGGAGACGCAATTCCTTCATTCGAGGGCAACTCAAGTGAACGAACAAAATCGCACCAAGGACCTTTTTGGTAAGAAATAGCGCCTTACAAAACTCTTTTAATTTATTCACAGATTCGTAGTAAATGTTAGTGGTGTAATTATGCTATGGATTATACTTGTGGATCTCTTTGCTATGTGATTCTAGGTAGCTAGTATGGTATGATAGTCCAAGCTTTCTCCCTGTCTAGCTTTGCGATAAATACCCAATTGAGTACACAACATATATTGGGTTCTGTGGGACAGCAATGCCATTAGTATATTGTCATTGCAACTAAGACGGGATCCTAGGTGTTAACTTCATGATTGAAAAGCCTCTTGGAAAAATGTTTAATGGAATCGTCACTTGCTATTAATGGTTGATCTGTCACTTCTCCAGTAACATTTGAATTGTTAAAAACACCGTTTTCATGCAACCCTCCGTACCCTAAGGAGCGGCCCTCCAGGTCTCTCCAGATTATAGTCAATTTTTTGTTCGAACCTCACGTGCACACGTCAATCATGCATTTCTTGTAGATATTACATTTGATACAAATCATCTCGTAATATATAGTATAAAGTATAATTTAGATCTTACTATTTCCTGTTGTAGTGGCTCTTTTGAGAGCCGCTCGCATTAAGCTTTTGCAAATGTACCAGATAGGCTGCGATTTTCATATTTCCGACGCTAAAATCACGTGACGGAGCAAACAGAAGACGACGGGGCTAAAACTAAGGGGCTCTGTGCGACCTCGCTCACATGGCAAGTCATACAAACACGGCGTACAAAAAGAATCTCTAGTATGAAAACTTCGGTCCGCCGCGTGTAAGTATTCGAATAAATTTTTTAACCTTAATTCTCGCACCAGTGCTTGATGGCCGTCGAAAGCTGCAAACAACAGTTCAATAATGTTAATACTCTGTCTTAATTACTTCAGCGATTTGATCAGCAGGATTTTACACCGTTTGTCCTTCCCCCTACCAAAAACAGAACGAGGGAATCGCTACAAAAGGATGTCATTTAAGTTTACTTATTGAGTTTGGATGTGTGTCTGCAATTGGATGATACTTTTTTTGGGTCGGAGTCGGGTCGCATACCGTCGAACTAAGTTCCTACTAACTTACAAAAGAAAGGGTTGACATGTCGTTGCTCGGCGGCTTACAGTCGAAAGACTCCAATTAAGTGAATGCAACTTTCTGAAAACTTCCAGTACGTCCTTTCAGCGAAACTTAAGTCTCACACAGAGTGAGAGAAAGGCGCTTCACTCCACGATACAACAACAGGCAAGGAACGAAGAGGCTTTATAACGCCTCAAAGATTTCACTTTTACGAAGAAGAGTGTTGCGTTTGAATGACTCGTGTGGCTGACCATAGTAGTAATACATATCGTCTATGCAGATACTCGCGTGTTCAACATCAGTGATATACAAACAAAGAAATACTTGGAAAATGTATTTGTCAAGCTAACACTATTTAACAAACTTGCAATCGATCGAGGAGAACAATGCGGTACTATGCAGCGGAAACTGTCGATACTTTTTTTTAATACAGTAACAAAATATGTTGACCTTATGCTAAGCAGCTAATATCATCTGCAAGGGTTCGTGAAAGGGATCCACAGATAGGCTGAATGATTGCAGTGATGGGGCAGATAACCTCAAGATAGAAGCAGGTTTTTCCTAATCCGATGAGATAGCCGTACGGCAACCGCTAAATCACTAGAGGATTAAATGGCCTACCGCCCTGCCAATAATACTAAGCTAAATGTATGCCATATTTTTGAGCAAAAGTGGCGATTTATACCGCTGGTTTCAGACGCGCTTCATGTTGTAAGTCTAACAACATGGAAACAAGGCCCGCTGAACTATGAGCAACCGGTATCGGGAATCCTTAGCGGTATTTCATTGGGCTGAAAGCTTTTTAAGTTTAACAATAAGTTAAATTTCAAGGATGCGGTCTACATTTACCACACGTAAGCTGTTCGTTACGACTACTCTGCATTTACATGGAAAACGCAGTTTATTCCGATCGTTCGCTTATGGTATGCGATTTAATTGTTACGATGGATCCATGCATTAGCAAGCTTAAGTTTGTGTCAATAAACTTAATAACGATAATGGCTGCGGTAGAAATAATGATAAACTGAGTTTCCAGCAAATCAAGGGCGCAGGAAATAAAAAAAGAACTATTTTTCTTAATAAGTGCATATAGATGTTGGCAAGCAACTCATCTCTAAGTGCAGGATCTTCTTAGGTTCGTGCAGAGCAAATATGATGTGCATTGTTTTTCCTACTGCACTTTCTATCTAGCATAAGTGTTTTCATTGGCTGTCCTTCCATCCAGCAAGTGAGGCGGCTTTCTATCCACGTACGCCTGTTTAAGGTCGACTGAAGGCTCACCGAATATACGTACGCCTATTATGTTCCTGTCAATAGCCGGCTTATCCTAATGTTTTGGGAACAGAGTCAACATGTCATACTTTGTTTTAGCCTCAATCTTCGGCGTCTTCTTTAGGCAGATGTGTTTGTTGGCTTCTTTTGCCAGACGATGTTGAGAGAAGCCTACCGCACCGACTTGAACCATAAACATAGCTAAGACTCTATGACCGATTTTCACCGGAAAGGAGAGACCTATCATTTAATAATTATTGCTTTCGCCTTTTAATGAAGCATCGCACAGTCTACGTAGCATAAAATGAGTAAGCAGTAAAAAAAATCAATGTTTTTATCTTAAACAGCATCAAGGCCATTTTAAGCGCTATTATTTTGCGCTTAAAATGGCTTTCACGCTGTCATTGGCTGACTTTATCAAATGCTCCTTTTAATAAAACGTGTGCCTCCCGTTTACAAGCGAATTAAGTGGGCACGACAGAAAGTGATATAGATATTAGTAAGGGCGCACCGTTCGAAACCTTTTTTTAGGGCATTTCTATAGTATTGATAAACTGAACAATTATATATTTAGAAGACATGATCGACTGTGCTACCCGTTCATGAATCTTTCTCATAAGCTACAATGTAGCGAACAGCGCATCTTCCTTAAAAATGACTAGTACTGGATCATGAGCGACCCCCTGATTATATAGTATGTCCATTATTCTTTGACGTTGATAAAATTCAGTTAGCGTATTTGAGATGCCAGCAATGATTATTAGCGAAAAAGGGTCAATGTGATCTATATAAAATAGATTACCACCCGACCTAGTGCTGATACGTAGAGGGGGCCCGGTGGTACAACGCCACAGCAAATCCAGTTGGTGACTTCAGCTGATGGCTCATTAGACTTTTTTTTTTTTTTATTATCACATATCACACACTAGCCACCCGTTAAAGACAGCGTCACCGAGAAAATCTTTAATTATCTGTATTGGTACTTGTATTCCTAATTTGGCCAGTGATTAATAGTCACATATAACAATATCCTGAAAATCCTCGAACATGCTCAAACTGAATTATCTTCAGAGATAATGACGCTCTAACGAGATGAGAGATCTAAATTTTTATAGCTTTAAGAGTTTATTCTTATATGATACCATTCGATATGACAAAAAAAAAGTGATGGTCGCTATTTTGTAGAAAGTGTTTCTACAATGTTTTGGGTCTTGAGTCTTGTAATGAATTGACCAAAATATAAATTTACTCAGACATTTATTGTTGGGAAGTATCATTGAGCTTCGCTTCATTTTATCTGTGTTCAGGTAGGTTGAGTTCTAAGTATTGTTCTATGTTTTCTATTGCTTCACAGCCCCTGTAACGAATTTTTTTTAATAAAAATAAAAACAGCAACAAAAAAATAAAGTGACAGACAGTGGCGCTCAGTTGAGGCAACATAATTCCATGCATATATGGTAGCACAATAGCGTTACATATAATATACCTATGATGCGTATAAATTCGTAGATTTTTTTTAAGGCAAAAACATAAAAAAATAAATCTATCCTATGTAGCTTTAGTGTTTTATGTTAGAGTCTGCTAGCATGCGATAGTACTATATTTATAGTATTATATGTGGTATGTCTACACGTACGACAGGAAACTGAATAGTCGAAAAAATCTGCTCTTTTGAAGAGCATATTCTTCTGCAATCGGCAAGGGACTAGTCAGCGACTCGTTTTGTCGCAAATATCTGCTTTTTCTTTCGTCTCTTCCAAGATGTTCTTAGCCTGAAAAATGTCCTCTCTTCTAAGGGTTCTCCACCTTAGGCAGGTCAGCCGACTTCAGGGTTCGCTTCTTCACAAAACCACTAAGGCTATCGTTCTTCTGCTCTGGCAGGGCCTTCTGTTCGCCTAGCGCAGGTTTGGCGAAGGCAGTCACTTCCTGTCAAACCACCAACTTGACTCGGTGTGATTTTCGGCCACGTCGGCACCATTGTGCTTTTTGGCTTATCTTAACTTGGAACTGTCAAGTTTGTGCCGAATCCAAAATCTCCAAGGTGAAGCACGAACATCTGGAGTAAATTCTTACCTTGAAAACTCGAGACCTTGGAGAAATGCAGTCGATCTCGTTCAGCATGCCAAAATGTATAATGATAACGTTGCGGTAGGTTCTTTTTGTAATGAACTATCATCAAGTAAGTTAACTGGAATAAACAACCTCGTTGTATCCATATTTTTCCTTTATAGAGAAAATTACAATCTTGAGGTCGCATCTCCACTAGATTTTCTAATCCACCCAATGCTGTCCATTGTTGCAAGGGATTTTTAGATTAATTAAAATAATTAATAATTAAATGGATTAAAAAATTAATAGATGATCATTTATAGAACCATGTTCGCCTTCGGTTTATCGTTTTCTTTAGATCTCTCAATCCAATAGAACTCTTTAAATAAAGTCAAATGAATCAGATGGATGTTCTCATAAAATCAGCCAGTTTAGCTGATCATACCTCAGACCCTAAATCGGACGCATCTAGTACTGCAAACGGTACATATACATTGACGGACGTATTTAAAAGAAATGTTAACATCTTGACGTTATATTTTAAATGAATATCCTTTTCAACAATAATTTATTTACTGATTTATGCAACGTAAGAGGTCCCTTCAAAAAAATTTGTTTTACCTTACTATGTAGGTCTCTAGGTACAAACTTTTTGAGTGAACGAGAGTGGAGCAAACTAATATTGTTAATAATAACAGAGTAACTAATAACAGATTATGGAAATTCCCAATCACATATACAAATACATCTGTAATTTTGCATATAATGCACTTTCTGAAATTTTTCGCAAGTATAGTTATTTTATCTACCTATGATTTTCTGTCGTTTGAATTTATATATTACATTGTTGTGTAACTCTGGGGTAGAAGATCTTAAAAGGCGCTTTCAACAACATGCCAATATTAAAACAGTTTTTCCTTTAAAATTATCAGCATTTTGACAAAGTAGTAATCTGTGTATATAGTATAAGGTGAGCAGGATGAACGACAGAAAACCCCTCAATTGAAGCGTTGTGATGTAAGGCTGACTGCTGGCGTGCAATAAGAGCGCTGTAGTTCTGTTTAATAATTTTGGCCCTCTAGTGAGTAATTTTTGCAATTGCTGACAGTATAATTCAACTGTAACAGACAAACTGGGACTCAAATCTAGAGTAGGTAACTTTTGCGCTATACGTTTGCTTTTTGGGATTAAATTTACTTGCATTTATCGTTGATGTGGCGTCTGCGATTATAGTAAAAAATAAATTTTATCACAAGCGAAAGTGAATTATTGCTATAATGTGAGAGCAAAGAGAAACAATCATTGTTACGTTCCGTTTTTTAAACCTCGCTTCCTTACCTTATTCATCTGACCGATGCAAAAAGGTATGGCATATTTACATACGCCGAACCTAAGTACGAATAGCCGTAAACTTTAAGACACGTTGGCTTCTAGCACAATTTACTTTGTCAATCACCATCGCATAGGGTTTAGCGGAAGACTTTTTTGAGTGCAAATCTTCTTTTATAGAACTTTTAAACTAGTCACTCGTGATGCTTCTATTAGTAGATCCTTCAGTGAATACCTGGCTATATCGTGAGCTGTCTTCCGTGCTATAGTTTTAAAATAGAGCTCTAATTCATAAGCATATAAAAATGATCTGATCTTCTATGGCTTACTACAATTTTAAAGTTTTACCTCCTGTACAACCGTTAGGCATTAACACGAAATGAGGTGAGTCCACACTTACCTTCGAACCCAGACCACCACGTGTCCTTCCAGTGTGGCAGGCAAACACGGCACTTACCACGTCACTATCAACACTCATTGCAATGCACCTGCTAAAAACCTGAACGACCGTATCTGAACGGTCGTAAATTCCGAAAGGTACAAGTGTATTTCAAAATATAATCACAAGTATCACTTTAAATTTTGCGCGTCCAATGTCCCTCAACAATATGCTTTAGAAATAGATACCGGCATTTTAATACATTTTTTAGTAGGAAGCCGGAACGCTGGGTGTAAGCTCGTAAATAAGTTAGAAAAACGAATTACGCAGTACGAATTATCAATA